AGGCCTACAGTAAAAACTGTAACATTATTAAGTATTATTAGGCCTACAATTTAAAAGAAATATTCTCTATTTTAATATAGCCTATTTTAAAATGGAATTTTCATCAGCCATTACGCCACTCTTCAGTGTCATCATTCAGATATCATTCTAATATGCTGATTTGCTGCCCAATAAACACTTCATATCATTATCATTGTTGAAAACAGTTAATATTTCTGTGGAGACATTTTTTTGGTTCAGGAGACTTTGTCAAATAGAGATCAAAAGAATAGCATTTCATTGAAATATAACGTTAATATAAATGTCTTTACCGTCACGTGCATCCTTTCGGAATAATAGTATTTGTATATTTATGTAATAATATAATAATTATTATTTAATAATAATAATAACTTTACGCAGCCCATATTGAGCACAATTTTTCTAAACTCATTTCGAAACACAATATGCTACATATATTCATGACATAAAAATGTATATTCTTGCTAACCTGCAGCGTTTGCGAGCTTTAGGCCTACCAACAAACCCGGTCATAACATCAGTAATACTACCGTATTAAGTACTGTAACAACCGTATAATATCTGCTGTGAACGGTCAAAACGCTGGGGGCTGTAGGGGGCGTTTACTATCCCTCTTTCCTGGTTTTGGTCGGGAGAGAGACGGGGGGGGGATTGGACTGGAGACGAATCCATCTGTATGCAGTTCACAGCGCTTCCGTCGTCCGTTGTGTTCTGCCGTTTTCTTCAGAAACTTGGAAACCGTACGCGATGGCTGACTGCTAAAAGCGCCTCATACCCCCTACTTTTTTGCTTTTCCTTTATATTCTCCTTTCCTTAAAGGCGTTTCAAACGTTTTTGTCTCAGGAAACTAGCGCTTTACATTTACAGAAACAACGTCTTTAGGTAAGAAGCACACGTTTGTTTGTAGCAACAGAGTTACAGTGTTACGAAGCACGGATTGAGATCGACTAGAAAGGATGGACGGTCGTTTGTTCTTAAAATGTGCTTTTGAAATGTTTATGTACGTCATACTAGTCATAAAACTACTATACGCAATACGTATATTGTTAATGTAATCATACACGTGTATAAGACGTACACATTGCACCAAAAGTAGATAAAAAGAGGCATCACAAAAAGGTTTAGCCACAAATGAGGGGTTTTTCTTTGTTCTCAGATTTACTTTGGGATTATCAGATACAGATTAGTGAGTCATCACCCATGCCGCTCTAATGACCAAGTAGGCAACTATTTAAACCAACCCGTTCCTACATGTTCATGACTGTTGCATTAACACACAAGTAACATGCTAAACTGAAAGACAGGTCATTATTTTATTCCTGCAAGTCTCTAGCTAGAGCCTCATCCTAACCAGCCTTTACTCATTCCTTCCTGGTGGGCCATGTTACAAAATGCCAAGCTGTGATTCATAACTTTGTGTTTTTCCTGTAGAAGCATCATCATGAGCGTACTGCCCCCTGTACGGAAAGACCGCATAATCGGCCAGCTTCCTAAGGTACATGTTTTACACACAATGCACTGATGCTCAAGGTATTGTTTGTTTCCGAAACCCATCCAAACCAAACCATCTGAAATCCATTTCCTCAACTGAGTGTTAATATTCACTCCTGTCGTAGTGCTTCAGCAAAGGTGCTGCTTTGAACACAGAGGATGAATTCCACAGCAAGGTGAAGACGGCCTGTCAGCAGCAGAGGACAGGAACTGTGGGGTGAGATGTTAGCTTTTGATGAATCAGTGGTTTCGGGAGATTTTCAGAACTGTTTGGATGGATTATCCAGCATTGTTTTATCCAGTGCCTTTTCTCGTTTTTGTCCAGTAGGTTTAAGATCTCCAAGGTCATTGTAGTGGGTGATCTGGCAGTGGGGAAAACCTGTTTGATTAATAGGTGAGCAAATCTGCAAAGTTAATGTTTAATAGCTGTATCAAATAATTCAGCTTGCTTTTTAGTTATTGTTTGGCTAAATATAATAATTTATTCTGTTGAAACTTTTTTTTGTTTTTAGATTTTGTAAAGATGTCTTTGACAAAAATTACAAGGCCACCATTGGTGTGGACTTTGAAATGGAGAGGTTTGAAGTTCTTGGGGTCCCTTTCAGTTTACAGCTGTAAGTGAATTCTATGACAGTTCAACTATCTATAATCAACGAGTCATTTCTATAGTTATTTCAAAGAAGTTTTTGTTTTAATTTTTCAGGTGGGACACTGCAGGACAGGAGAGATTTAAATGCATTGCCTCTACATACTACAGAGGAGCTCAAGGTATATGACTCAACCGAAAATAATATTAAATAATGCAAATAAACATATAGTTTTTAGTATATTGTACAAGTTGTGTCTAACAATAGTTAATTTCAGTATACTATAATGTGTAAAATCTGGTGATAGTAATAAAAGTATAATTATTGAGTAATTAGATCATTAAATTTAATGTTCTTTAATTATTATATAAAAAATATATTATTTTTAAAAAGTACATATTTTTACCTTTTTTTTTTTTTTACCTTTGAGGTATTCATATTCTTCTCCCATTCCTGTTTTACAGCCGTAATCATTGTGTTTGATTTGACTGATGTGGCTTCACTGGAGCATACAAGGTAAATGACACCATCACTATAATTCTGCCCTCTGGGTTAACAAATACACAGCATGCTTCACACATTGAAATGTATCGTCCTCTTCTAAAGGCAATGGCTGGAGGACGCAATGAAAGAGAATGATCCTACCAGTGTATTACTCTTCTTGGTTGGCACAAAGAAAGATCTGAGTGTGAGTGACCATTTTTATTATTTTTAATTGACATTATACTTACAATCATGGCCATGCATAATCCAGTACAATCTCCTTCCATATACTTTACATATTTATATATGTCCTACCAATGTGTCTTTCCTCCAGTCTCCTGCACAGTATACACTAATTGAGCAGGACGCCATTAAACTGGCAGATCAGATGAAAGCAGAGTACTGGGCTTTGTCCGCCTTGTCTGGTGAGTTGCTGACTAGAGAGATTGCTATAGTATATGGGATTTGTAGCAATTTTGTGTAATGTATTACAAAGTCACATAAAGTATTTTGTAAACCCTAGATAGAAGTTGCTACTGTTTATGTTGTTTAAGGACTCTTTTTTTGTCACTGTAGGGGAGAATGTGAGAGAGTTTTTCTTCAGAGTGGCATCTTTAACATTTGAGACCAATGTACTGGCAGAACTGGAGAAAAGTGGATCCAGACGTATTGGGGAAGTTATTCGTAAGTACATTAAAGATCACCCAAAAATGAAAGTTTGCTAAAAAAAATGTACTCCAAGATGTAGATGAGTTTTGGGGACAGATTTGGAGAAATGTAGCATTACATCACTTGCTCACCAATGGATCCTCTGCAGTGAATGGGTGCCGTCAGAATGAGAGTCCAAACAGCTGATAAAAACATCACATATAAACAGCATGACTCCAGTCCATCAATTAATGTATTGTAAATGGAAAGCTGTGTGTCTGTAAGAAACAAATCCATCATTAAGGCATTTTAACTTGAAACCAAAATGTCAATCCATAATCTACAACAATGCGCCCTCTAGTGAAAATGTTCATCCCCTGTTGTCCTCCCACATCACCACTTTTAGACTTTTAGACTGTTTTTCATGTAAATGGTGCTTGTTCTGTGCATATTTCTTAACTTTTTTTTTTGCTGGAGAAAGCCATATTACGGATGGAGGACTTATAGATAGAGGATTTGTATTTTAGTCAAAAGCTAAAAATGTCTTAATGATGGATTTGTTTCTTACGAACACACAGCTTTTCACTTCACAAGACATTAATTAGTAAACTAGTGTAGTGTGGGTTACTTGAGGATTATTGTGATGTTTTTATCAGCTGTTTGGACTCTCATTCTGACGGCACCCATTCACTGCAGAGGATCCATCGGTGAGTAACTAATGTAATGCTACATTTCTTGGCCTAAGGGTGAATATATTTTCAGCCAGATTTCATTTTTGAGTGAACTATTCCTTCAACGACATTATTTAATCCACTGGAATTTTATTGCACCATGAAAAGAAGGTAATTATATTATTATTTCCCTTGCCCGAGTGACCTGAATTCATTAATAGAGAAAAGTAATTTCAGAGTTAGAAGTTATTACATATAAAAGATCATGAAGCAGTGATTTTCTGTAGAATAAGATGCACTGATCAACAGTATATATATATATATGACCATGTTTTCTTTGAATTTAAATGAAACTTTTTTTCTCCACACAGAAATCAACAGCAACTCAAATAACCTGTATGCAACTTCCAAGAAGAAACAGAACAACTGTTGTCAGTAAAGACTGGCCATGTAAAAATGCAATCATTTGCACCAACATATAATGGTACCAAAGCAAAACATACACACAAATGTACATGCACGTACATAGGGAGAATCTACTAGATAATAAAAGTAGGATGAACAATATTCCAACTATGTGACTGTACAGAGAGCAGTGTGGTTTGTTATTCATAGGGTGTAACTGAATATCTGCTGGATGAAAGAAAACATTCCTTTGTTGGAAAACTTGAGGTTTGCATTTTTGTGGTAAAGCCGTATTCCGTTTTCCCAAGAGTTCTATGCACAATCATTATCAGTGATTATTACATTGTGTTAATTAAAAATACATTTTATTTCACATTATGCTTAGCTTACATTCAGTAGTGATTTTAAAAGGTACACAGGAGGATCATGCATGAGTTGCACAAAAAGCAATAAACAGTGATAAATATATTTTTCTATATCAAAAGTCCTGTTTATTAAAAGGGTAATTTTCCTTGAAGTTATATCGATTTTTTTTAATATATAGGTTCAAATTCTTGCTGTAAAGATTTTAAAAGTATTAGGGCTTATATACTTGGTTTTCTGTGATTGACATTTTTATTCTAAATAAAATGTTTTTCCTTAAATGAGCCATTTATTTAATTATAATATAAAATAGGTATTTTTCCCAAATGTGTTAATATATCATAGTAACACTGTTATTTTGATTAAATACTGATTTTAATACTGTTAATATTTTGATTAAATCTCTTTCATTTACATGAAATTCAGCATTATTGATTATTTGAGAATTTTCAAGTTAGTAATAAGTTAGAAATGTGAGCTACAATCTGATAGTGACCTCTAAAGATATTTTAGTGTAACAACAACAACAGACGTATTTATGACCAATATGACAAATGCATAATACATGACAAATGTACTGCATCAAATTCATTCAAGCGTAGAGAGTTCAGTCCTCACAAGATTCATACCTCCACAAATTTCACATGAATATTTTTTTCCCTGATTTCTTAATATTTAATACGGTGGCCGAGAAGTGCAAAGCAGATCACAATTCTGAAAACAAAATAACAAATCAGAAAGAACAACAACAATTCAGAAAACATTATAACAAGTCAGAAAACACGTCGTGGTAGAAAGTTCGGAGATGGTATTAAAGTAGCTCAGTTTAAATGTATTGTATGAATTGCCCTTACTCTGGAATAAAAAATACGGGGTGTCTATTTATATTTAGTTAAAAGTGGCTGTAAATTATCAGCTCCAATGGTGCAGATGGTTAGGTGTGTGCCCTTGGCTTTTTGACGCGATCAACCCGGGTTCGATCCCGCCTTTTGCCAAACTTTTTTTTCTCCCTGTTCTTCGGCTGGTTTTTCCTGTATACGTTGATTGACAGATGTCTCGTCCAGTCAGCGTTGAGTAATCCCAAACCAATGGCGCTGTTTCAAACTATACCTACCTTTTCCGGTTTGTCTGATTTGTCGTTGTGTTTTCTGACTTGTTCATTTGTTTTCGGATTTGTCATTGTGTTTTCTGACTTGTTATAATGTTTTCTGAATTGTTGTTGTGCTTTCTGAATTGTTATTTTGTTTTTTAAACTTGCATTTGCGTTTGTAATTTGTTATTTTGTTTTCAGAATTGTGATCTGCTTTGCACTTCTCGGCCACCGTAATTTAACCACTAAAGTTCTTAAAAGACTCCAGGTATTGACTGTCTATCTGAGATTGCAGCTCATTTGGAATGCAGTGGGAATATTTATAGTTTTCCTTTAGCCACGTTCCTCCCTCACTGTTTTCAATGGCCACAGCAGCAATGCCTTCAAAGAATAGAGAAATAATAGCACTAATTTTACCATCTTAATCAAGTCTACTGATAAGTAATAAGTGAACAAGAGCTATTACACCCTCTCACAGAAAGAAGCTGTCCAAAACCGTTGTTTTGTATCTTGCAGCAACAAATATAACAAGAATGTCAATAAACTCACCAGTCATCAGTTACATTATTTATTTTAATAGCTCCCTAAAGGCAGAATCAACATCAAAGAAAGACATAAAGGTTTCGGGTGGAGAGGGGCAGTGGACAAGTTCAAAATCTCTCAAAACATTTCTTTGCTTTTATTATATTAGCTGTTTTATGCTTACCTACAACAGTAGCTCCTTGATTCTCCACCAGTTTGATAGCTGCTCTCATAGTTCCTCCAGTCTCAATCCACTGGTCTACTATAAGAACCCGCAGACCTGAAGTACATCATAACATACCTATAATTTCCCATTTTGTGTTACTAAGAAGTAGATGTGCTATTAAAACATTTGAATACACATGGCTCTGCAGTCATACAGTGGGATATGTAGTAAGATAGGACATCTGAGCTGATTGAAAATGTATAAATCATTGCAAACTTTATAAGTAAAAATTAATTTGATTGAGGTGTCTTGTAACTTTCAACTTGCCCTTTTCCATTTCAGTATAGCCCTCAACAACATTATCAACCATCATAGTGACAATAATACATCAGTACCTGGCTTTAACACATCAACGCGCACTTCCATCAGTTTCTCTCGTCCAGAGTAGTCGCTGTAGTCTTGAGTGCGAGTTTGAACACATAAGTGTCCTGCTTTTCGAATGGCCAAAAATCCTTTTCCTAAAGTTATGGCCACAGCTGACCCTGAAATTGCAGGAGAAAGTAAAAAATAAAATCCACAATGCATACAATCCATTTTTCACATGGAATAGACAATATCATTTAAGTTTATACATTTAATTGAGTCAGGCTTTAGAGATAGTCCCTAAGTTCATATCCCACTCTATATTTAGCCTGTTTGCAGAGGTGTTATATATACTGCAACATGTGAACTGAGCTAAAATACTCTCTTGAGTTCAGACTGTCTTGCTCCACACCAGCTACAAAAGAGAAAGTTTTATACCGAGGATGAAGCCCATGGCATCTATTCCAGCCACCAGGTCAATGGTCTCATTCTGGAATGGTTTGAGAAGATCTTTTACGCAATCTGACAGTGCCTGGATCAGTCAAGGGTGACAGAAAACAGTGAGCAGAGACTATAAACTAGAAAACCCATGGCAGTCAAACACATTCTAACACAGTCACTATTATTCAGACATGGTAGACACAGGTTATTTAAAAACGTACTGGGTCAAGTTTGACTTGCAACAAGAGCGATTGTTTACCTGTGAATTGCAATAGAGCCTTGATGGATCAAGCCATGCAAACTTTGGACCCTTTGTGTTTGGTGCCATAAGAGACAAGTACCAGCCCTCTTCTCTCTTTTGGGGAACTGCTAAAACATCCATTCTGGAAAGACCGTTAGACTTCTGAAAACTCACCCCGGTAACGGCGTGTATTTGGTGTCAAGTTCATGTATTGTAAAGTGGGCGTTTTCATGTCTCCCAGAGTAATCGCTTAACCATTAGCCACAAACCAGAGCTCTGGAGACTGTTTGCGTTTACTCAGTTTAACAGTGTCACTGTTAAACACAAGCATTTTTTGTGTTTTGTTTAATAACAAACCTGTAAATGGTATTAATATTTTATAATGCACAACAACGCACTTATAGCCTACTCCGTTATATTTGTATGAAATGAAGTAGCCTAGTTCCAGGGATGACAAAAAAAGATTCTAAAAAGTTTTTCTCGATTCTAAAAACTTTTATGTTCGATTGTCTGCACCACTCGTCAGGTTTGAGATAGCCAGTCAAATCAAAGTAGGGGGTTGAGCTTTCTAGTTTGGCTGCAATATGTTCTGCGAGATGTTTTTTAGGCTAGGCAATGAAAGAAAGACAATACAGAAAGAAAGAAAGGACCCATAATGTCGGGTCAAGATATGTTTTAATAAATGCTCAGTAGCGTTACGTTGCTCTACAGTGTGACCGACTCCTAGGACTAACCGGCGCTACATGATATCTATCCGCACTATCGTGGCGTGTCCCGAACCGGAGTGCCACATGAAGAAGAAATAATATCCCTCCGCGATATCAGCCGAGGCGCTGAAGTGACGCTGACAGCTGTCACTCCGTTTTTTTACGCAGTGATCAAGCACAGGAGACAAGTAGAAATATGAGAGATTCAGAAAGAGTGAGGTTTGCCTATAATACGTATTGTGTGCAGGTTTAAGATTCATCCTGATTCTTAACAAAAAATACATCTAACAGTCTTTTTTTTTTCAGAGCAAAGACGTGAAGTCAGTCATGAAATTTGTAGCAGTGAAGATAAGTAGCCTACTGTCCATTTGTGTGGGATAAGTGGCTTGCAAATAATCACAGTGAGCTAATTACAAAATTAGTCTATATACTGTAAAGGAGTGTAGGCCTACTGTAATGTGTTTCCTTTATTTTGGGGGACATTCCATAGACGGAATGGTTTTTAAATTGTATTGTATATCCCCTTACCCTAACCCTACACATCACAGAAAACTTTCTGCTATTTTAGATTTTATAAACACTTCGTTCTATATTATTTATAAGTTGTTCCATAATGGGGACAAAAAAAAGTTCCCATTATGTCAAAATTTACTGGTTTTACCATATTTGTGCATGGGGACATTTGGTCCACATAATGTATAGGGAATTGTAGGTAACACACACACACACACACACACAAACCTAAATTTGTGTAAGTGGGGCCTAAATAAAGTCTTGTTATAATTTCATTGCATTTTTTCAAACATTTTGAATTTACCCGCGATAAAGAATAAAGAGAACTTAAACATGCTGTAAGAAATTCTTAAAGAAATCACGTAGGCCTACGTATATTGGAATACTTTGGAAGATTTTGGAAGAATTCACTATGATGTTTTATCTGTATAGCCTACCGTGAAAATGCATTTCGATAAAAATAGCTATAGCCTATAACAATATACGGTCGTCAAATACAAATAAGGTTAAGAAAGCTTCTACAAATCTTTAAGATAGAAGCATATGAATATGTATTTTATCATTACTGAATGAACGGCAGTAACTATACCATGGAAAATATATAGGGAACCCGGTACAAAAAAAAAAGCCTAAGCAGACGACTATAAGCGTCTTTATGTTCAAGGTGCCATGAGCCCGTTTCCACTGAATTGCGTCTCATTATGCAGGACTCGCCTATGCATCCATACAATCCACAAAAGATCGAAATTATGATGCTATGGACCATTTTATTATTGAATCTTTTGGTCTTTTAGCCTGCGTTTTATTTTCTGCAGAGATTTCTCACAGTGAGCTCTTGACTGAGCAGCTAATTGATTTCATATAATATAGGGTTCCTTTTTGACTCATATCCGAAAATCATGTGAAATTTAGGACAATGGATTCCTCTGTGCATCAGATATGAGCAGTCATGCAACGTTTTATGTTTTCATACCTCAGGCTGTAGTATTTCAGATTTATGTTCCAAGAACTGATGTGTTATTGTAGATTAGAAACATTTTAAAGAAAGGGCAGTGTTGCTAAATGACAGTGTGCTGTGAAGTATGAAGTAACAGTTCATCAAGTATGTGGATCACGCAGTGATTAATATCCTGGCAAAAGTTTTTAATGAGTAGCCTATTAAATTAATACTACATCGGACTGATTTTCCAACAATGTCGCATGTTACCTCTGGTGATTTTACATCATTTGTTTCCTCCCCCACCAATCCGATTTCTTTGCCAAAGCCCACTGTTGGACTCAGTGGGGGCTCTTTGAAAGCCGACCATAAATATTTTGCTTTTGGACTTGCACATACTCAATTCCTGATTTATTTGGTTATTTTGTTAGTTCGTTGTTTGTACCCTTTTCAGCCAATTGTTAAATAGTCTGTTAATAAATAAAAATGAGTTCAAATAAATTTAATCTGGGATTGACAATTTTAATCATGTGAAATTTAGAAATACAGCACTGGAAAGCTACATATTTAATTGCTTGAAAGCAATAGCCACGAACAATTGCAATTTTATTTATGTCATGTGGACAAGGACAAACGTGCGTTCTCTTCTCAAATTACTCTTTTTCATTTTACTGGCGCCTGCGTCTGTTAAAGTCCCAACGTTAAGACCCATGTAACCATAGGAAAAGACACTGATGTTCAGTAACTGCATGGAGATCCTCATTGGTCTGCATTGAAAAAGCCCACTGTTCCAAATTAGGTCACTACCCATTCCTTTTGTGAAATTAGAATGCCCAATCTCGTTGGGTCGGAAGAATCACCCCATCTCTTGTTACTATGGAAAGCGCCAAAGGAACCTCCTCCTTGCTGCGTCACCACAAGTAAATCTCGAGGTGTGGGGAGAGATGGGGTTACTTGCGGTCAAAACACACATAGGCCTATCCATTACACCCTACATTCATTATGCACACAACAAACACGGCTTGATTAGAAGAGCCTAAATTGAAAATAGTTAAGAAAAAATATCCTATAGTCCTATTGTATTTGTAGACATGATGTAAAGTTTAGATTGTTTTGAGGTAGCCAATGACTTTCAGGGGTCGAAAGTCATTTATTTATTTAAATATATATTCTGTAAGTATACACTCTAAAAAATGCTGGGTTAAATACAACCCAGTGCTGGGTAAAATAGGGAAAAACCCAGCAATTAGGCTGTTTTGACCCAGCGGTTAGGTTAGATGTTCAACCCAACCTTCTGGGTAGTAACCCAACCGCTGGGTCAAAACAGCCCAATTGCTGGGTTTGTCCCTATTTTACCCA